AGAAAGAAACCTATGCAGAAGATACAAATCAAGTATTATACACCGCATATTAAATTTTTTATAAAGAGATGTTGTGGGGTGTGGGGTGGGGTGTATGTACATGCCTTACCCTGGCATTTTTTAGAATAATTTTGGTTTCCAATTTATATAAAAAATAAAAATGGATGGACATTGGAGATAAACTGTGTAAGGATTTTTTTTTGAGAAAAATGTATGAAATATTTATTTGTTTGTTTTTTCGTTTCTGGGAGTTTTCTTTACTATATTTTTATTGTGAGGAAGAAGGAGACAGCCTTGTTTTGGCTGTATTTTTAAATGGAGAGTAATGGATGTATTTAAGTATTTTTCTTTGGAAACATTTTTGAAAATTTATAAAAATAAAAAAATCTTTTATTTTCTTTACTCCTATTGGATTTATTTTTTATTGTCTTCATGCTCATTGCATTTTTTTTTTATACAAATTCCTTGTTTGTGTGTTTTTTAGAATCCAATGGACTTTGAACCAGAAGATGATAGCATTCCTTTAGAGGTTGACTATGAGTGGGATAAAGATTTTTGATGCCTATGCCTTTGTTTTAATAAAAAAAAAAACTGTGTGTTGGTTCTGCATTTTGAATTCGTTGCCCCTAATTTAGTGATGAGGCATGTATTGTACATCTCTTCAACTCGTTTGATTTTTATTTTCTTTGTTTAGCTTTAAACCAAGGATATATACAGCATGGAGTAGGTCTATAAAATTATAATCTTAATAGAAAGTGTTGCATTGTTTTTTTTTTTGTTAAATACTTCCATAGTGGGAAATGTTCTCTATTTTTATTGTTCTTTGCTCTCCTCTGTACTTTTGGATACAGGAGGGATACATTTTTATCAGGTTTTATTTTTGAATATGTTTGATTATCATTGAAAAGGAGAGTGTGAATTGCTACCTAGGTAGCAGGATTTTTTTTTTTTTAAAAGATGCTTAATCTTGGTGTAGTCTTGGTTTGCATTTGTAAGGATTACAAATTTCGATAAGTATTTCTTTTTCTATCCTTTGCGTTCCTATCTTTCGCTTTGAAAATTGGAGGGCTCTAATAACTGAGTGTCTATTTTTCTGTCTTCTTTTCTTCATTTTGGCATACTAAGTATTTGTCAATTTGTTATTGAAAGTACGTAGTTGGCAAAAGTACAATTGATTAAACTCTGCTACTAAAGAGGTACACCGCACCTTTTAGAGAAAACAAGGGTGTATCTACCCTTCATTTAGCCCATGATAATTCCCTCGGTACGTCCGTCAAAAGTATATATTCATTATAAAGCATACAGCATGTTGACCCATCTATCCCAACTGCGTAACGTTCTTTCACGCGTGTTGCATTGCTCTTATTTGAGTTGATAAAATTTACAGAGTGCCGCATTAAAAAAACATTGTTACCAATGCACTCTAAGAAATTCTATCTACCAATGCTTCGTGCTTTAGGATTTTCTGCTAACTCTCAAAAGTTTCAAAACTTTACGACATCACTCACTGAAAATGTTTTTACCCTTAAACCCATTAAAATTATGTTATTATTAAGGTCATTAATCAAAGTAAGAAGTCATGGCTAGAGTCCCAGATTTGTTTAGCAAGTTTTATTGAAGCAAAAGCATATACAAATCAAACTATATCCAAAATCTAAGTTTTTTACGGCTGGATTTAGTAGTTGAATCTTTATTTTATAAAAAAAGAATCCTCAGCAGAGGCGGTGTATGACGCAGCTTTTTGTTATTTTCTCATTTAAAATTGCATTAAACTATAAAGCATGGTTTTGCCCGCAGCATTTATTTTAGTGTCTCAGGAACTCTTCTATCCCTCGTATAGATGCTATGATATTTCTTGTATGCAGCGTTTGCTATTTGTTTTTCCCTGTTGTAACTCTCGCATGTCTTATTGCGCGTATTGCGTTGCAATTACTGTGCATCCAATTTGCTAGCTACAAAAATGCTGTAACCACCAGTACTGTGACACAAAAATCTTTTAGAATCGTAGGATATGTTATATTGGGACTACTAGCCTCCTAATGACTTCGATAATTCAACTAGTATAAAGTTTACTCTAGTAAACTTAAGTGAAATGTAGGAATAGTACATTTGCAGTATGATTTTTATGTAGCAAGAAGCACTACATCCCACAAGTTTATGCCCAATTTTTGAAGAGGTGGTTAAGTGAGTTCTTTAAGTAGTAAGGATTATTTTGTTGTAATATCTATGAAATAAAAACGGCAGTGTAACATTATTTCTGATTTTGTTCTTTAGCTAAGATAAACCTAGAATATACTTTTTCTCTAGTGTATAGACATTCATCCTCCTCATTCTTTTACACGATTCAAATTATCATCAAAAAGCATTGCTAAAGAGAAGCAAAATAATGATTTGAAGTAAGAGATCAAACATAATTTTTGAAAATATATTCTAGATGCACCAAAAGTGCAGAATCTAAGCAATACACTGGTCCTCAAAAAACTACACTTTTCATTCATAACGGATTGCTTTGAAATTATTGTTCATATAATTTGGTTGAATTGTTAATATTTTGATATATCGATTAGCTTCGTCGCATGGGAGTTAATCATTAATGAAATTGCGATTATTAAAAAATAAACTTTAAAATGGTTATCAGAATCACTTATAAGTGTTATTGAATTCATTACGCAAACATTTGGTCTATTTAAAGTGGTTACCAGCTTGCTTAGTACTTTTGCGAAAATACTGGATTTATCTTCTGTTACAAACAAAGGGGCTTTTCCTATGGATTCAGGTGCAACTAAAAACTCGGCGCAAAGTCAGAATGCTACTTCATTACTAAAAATTCTATCAATTTATTTATCGCCTGGTCAAAAGAGTTTACTTCTCTCGGTTTTACGTGGATTAAAAAAATAGTATAAATTCCCAAAACTATACAAAACAGAGAATAAGAACTCCTTTCCGAATACTAGTTACTACGACGAAGAACCAATCGCGTTTTTATTTTCTTGCTATACTGCGAAACAGTCTACACTAAGTCACGTAGATCATCCAATTTTTTAGAAAGGCGTTTCGTAAGCAGAAAAGCAAAAATACCACAAGATATTGCAACGATCATGTGTGCTGCAATAACAATTGCACTACAATAGTAGAAGATTATTGCTTTCAATTCAAGGCAAGATTCTGGAATGGTTTCTTGTCCGTAAATGCTCCGCGAAGACGTTACCAGTATGTATGTGCCCCAGGCATTTGTTCCAAGATTCACAATGGCCATAGTGAAGGTTACGATGGAAACTATTGCCCACTCTTTCTCTGTGCCCCAGCGACGACCAGATAAGAGAGAATAGTACCATGCCATGAAAAAGGCCACGACTGAAAAACGACAAATGCCACTGTAAATGAACATTATGATTTTGCTAAAACTTCTCAAAAATAGTAGTACGCTAAACATAAGCAAATAAATACATGTGCACATTGCATGAGCATGCGTTGAAGATTCGATAAGTTCGTCGATATCAGAAGGAACTGAAATTAGAGTTGCTAGTGTAAAAGTTTTTGAAGTTAGCATGTAAAATTTATGAAACGGATCATCCTGCTGTATGTTTAGAGGCTCTCATTCGGTATGAACTTTTAGACATGCTATCACAAAGTTAATTCCGCCGAGATATCAATCATTAATTGACTCAATTGCTAAGTTCAGTTGCAAATGATTCAACAAAATAAAAACGTGGAAGTTACTCAAAAACGATGATCGATCCTGCAGCTTACCTGCTGTGAGGCCAGCATATGTTATATTGTCAAGCAATAGAATACAATTGACATCGAAGATAGTTGGAATGAGAAAGTTCATACAAGAAAAGAACATTAGTACAATATGTATTCCCACAAGAAAGTACAACCATTTTTTTACAGGATTATATATTAGAGGTGCCGGACCACCTCCAGGCGGTCTTGGAATAAACCATCGCATTGTTTAGTAGGTACATTTTTGATTAACTGCGCGACATCAAATATAAATATCTGCTGACATTGCTACTTTCTCAACGAAATAATGCTCAGTAAAAGCATCAGTGGAGATTTCCTATTCATCTGTAAAACACACAAAAAAATTAGAATGTTTGACTGCAATATCCCTCAGCTACCAAATTTGCCCATTGCTACACACATAGAAGATGAAGATATCATAAAGGCCCATTAAAAACTTGTCTTACTAGTTCTTAATCGGTATTTATGAACAGAGATTCGAGAAAGATCGCTTTATGCCATACGATGAGATGCGCGTTCAATTTTAATGCGATTGTGCACTCTGGTATCCTGAATTCGGTGTAAAACAAGGCGGAAACTTAATACATAAATAAATGCGCATCCAATAAAAAAGTTATCTCGTGCTCAGCATTAGAAGAAAAATTACCAAGTTGAAGAGTGCTAGAAGAAGAAACTTCTTATTTTTTGGTTTACTGACCCGCCTTACCCGTTAGATTAGCAGCAAGTACTTTTTCTTGTGAGATGTTACTTTTCATATAATTCTGCATGTAGCTCGCCGGTAAATATTTGTATGCTTTAGTATCTAACTTGTCGGTTGTTGAATGTATATGTAAAGATAATTTTCGCGGCATTTGAGTGTGGAGATAAAAAAAGTGCAGCGATGTCTTAGAAGTAAAACGAAGATAACATCAGTAAAAGCGCGTAGATAACTGTTCACAGAGGGATTTCAATTGCTTCTAGTAGTATGGCCAATTTAAGAGCCTCTAGCATCATGCGAATTGGTCATCTTCTCTTCGTAATAATTTTTTAAGAATCATAGGACCACGACTGAAAATACTTGCTAACGCTTGATTTTTTTTGGACAGTCAACGCACGGGATACTATTATGCTGGACGTTTATCCCCCGAAATTGACGATGAATGTCTAAGCAGAACATGCTGTGCTTCTATTTCCATCTCAAATATTCTTACGTAAATGTGTTTCGCAGTTTCCGAAAAGCAAAAAAACTAGAAATTATATACTTCCAATATGAGTGACAGAAGTGGGGTTCGAACCCACGCCCTTTCGGACCGCGGCCTTAACGCGGCGCCTTAGACCTCTCGGCCATCCTGTCGAAAGTAAATTGGAGTTCAGTTTCATAGTTTTTGTGATATAGCTTTCGAATTTTTTTCAAAAAAACGACGGAATGCAAACTGAACTTGTGACATTTTCGGTTGTTAAAATAGCTATGCGATTGTAGAGTGAAGTAAGCAAGATCATTGTCCTCTTTGCTTTTTTGGTTTCTTCCTGTTTTTCTTCGCCTAAGTAAAATGGATTCTTAAACCTTGGCCACTGGTTGGTGTAAGAATTCCGTTTCATCATTTTCATCTAAATTTCGGGAAAAAATGCATATTTACTCTCTTTCCATGGAAGAAAACCAGTTCATGGTAGAATAGTTTGAGTGCCATCATTCTCTTAACAAATGATATTTCATCGTCGCTGTACCGAATTAGTGTCATATTTCCTTCTCAAAGCGAACGCTGTCCATGATGATGTGCTTGGTTGAGTAGGGCTACTTCCATGCTTACAGACGAGTAAATGGAATTGCGTTCAATCATTACTGTCGAGATGAGTCCTTTATTTTCGGAGAAATCTGTACCGATAACATTTATTTGTTTGAGTGGAACTTGCGTTGAAATGGTGTACTATATACTCTGTCGTGAAGAGCCGGTAGTGTTGGAAGTTGAATACATAAAATAAAATTGGCATTAAATGATTGATAATGGAATTTGTGGCTTTAACAATAATAAAGGGTTTATTTTCTTTTCTTACAATATGGATATTAAGCTGTAGCGACAATCTTTTCAGTTTCTTAAAGCAGCCTCTTCGAGAGTCGTAGACACATAAGCTGCGTTTCTTTCGCAGCTGAGTGTTATGCATAAAACAATTCTTTACAACAGTAGAATTCTGGCAGTATAGAAGAAAGTCGAAATGTGATACACTATTGCGGCAGTGATGCATCTCTGCCATTCCTTCGACAAGTTTACAGATAAAAAACCAATTTTTTTCCGTCTTCATCCCTCAATTTTTAACAAATATTTTCTGTGATTATTCTAAATTTTAAAAAAATACGGATAGTTATCAGTGAGAAAGCCTATGGAGGAATTGTAAGGATTTCATCGTAACTAAATCAATGTTTAAGAATGCCATTAATAAAAACATAAATCTATTTAGAATAGAATTTTGGTTGCATTTACTACAAACGTGAGCAATCGTTTGAAGATCACACATGAAAGAGGAAACCTCTGCGATACCCTTAGTAACGTTAGTCTAATACTAGGGTACGAATATAGTATAAAAATGAGCGGATTTAAGTACACAAAAAATTCGTAAGCCACCGTGCCTAATAAGAGATGTAAAAGGGGCGTCTTCTCAAATTATAGACGGGAGCGTGGACCTCGACGTACTGTACACTCGATGAGACCTAAAACAAGATATAAGTGTCACATAAGCCAATGAATTTTTTCCCTTTTGTTTTGTACTGTGTAGAAATGAATTTCCCAGAATAAAGCATTTATGCTTCGTTTTTCACCAAAAAACAAAAACAAGAAAACCAGTGTGGAATATAGCAAAAATCTGCTGTATCTCATCAACGAAAATTACGCAATATGCCTGCAGTACGCATTCTAAAGAAGGATACTACAATAGATGCACCAATTCCAAGAGAAGGATAGGATTTATAGAGATACATTCTTTGTGGGAAAGAAAAACACCTAATTAGATGCTTTCATTTAACAAACAAAATCGGAGACATAGAGAGATGTACATACAGTACGAGCACTTTCCATTCTCTCTAAAATATCGAAGCATTGACAAAGATATGAATATCACCCATCTTTTGGCCTGACCTGCTGGTTTCTCCGATCGAAAAAGAATTTCATTATTATTGACCAAATTAAAACGTTCAATATTATACTCAAAATGATGGATATTTGGAAGAGACATTGTAATAGCTTCAACGTAAGGGCATTCTATAAAAAATAGATACACATTCCCACGGTAAATCATCCTTTCAATACTATCGCTTCTATGTCTTTCCTTCAAAGAATAAAACAAGAGTATAGACATAAAAAGCAGCTTTGTGTTACCACTCTCTCCTATGACAAGGAAACCCCTATTGCTAAATAGAATAACTATTAGTATCTACTTCCCCAAAGATATGCACACACGTAAAGTCTCTATCACATTGTCGCAATAAATAATTACCCTAGCTTCACCCTCATTCCTTCCTATTTAACGCTAAGAAGCCAACGAAACATCTCAAGCCTCACTACATAAAAATGTGAGCAGAAAAATAAAAATATGCAAGAAATGTAATCAGAAGGAGCAGTGTATTCTATTTTGTTTTCTTGCGTTACTGCACGTATTCTACTAGTAGCCTCCTTTCTGCAACGTTCCGCCCAGTAGTCTCAGATGCATCAACAGACATTCGTCTTCCATCAATAAAACTAATAATTAAAATAGAGTCAAACAACGTGCAACAGTGTTCCCTAGCCCTTCTCTACTACAGAAAAATTTCAAGCCATAGCACACCTGCCAAGACAGCATTACTCATTTTATAAAGTGTCTCTTGAACAGATTTACTGTATTCCCCTTGATGAGGAGGACCCGCCAACGTCTGGAGCAAAATTTGACGAATTTCTACCAAAGAAACGTTACCATACATGCACTTTATATCTTTTTAAAAGATAAAAAAGACATTCTAGGATGAATCTACATAGCCGAATGCATGCTTTGTCTTGAGATCACGTATTCTAAAATGCTACACATTTCTCTGATGGGTTTACAAGAGAGAAGACCATGCTAATGGCTAGGCTGTATACATCTATCTCAAGCGATATGCCTTAGCCTCTAAACATATTGAAATTTCTCCTATCCACTTTAGGTGGGTTTACATCCTCCTCTTCAAAATTTTGGAGATGTTTATACTCTCTCCAGAGCATTCCTATGAGGTATCCGTCTAAGAGTTCCCCTCTCTCTCCTCAGGTGAATCTCAAATATATTTCTCCGCACATCACAAATTAAAGTGAATATCAAAGAAATACTACATAAAGAACGTACGTTTCACTATTTTCTTAAAATCCATCTCAGATGTACGATTTCCATACATCCAAGAAGCTGTAATATCGGTACAAAAAACACGATCGCTGAAAATTAAAGTTGAAAATAACAAGTAAAATTACATGTGAGAGCCTCTAAGTAAAGGATGCGTTCATCGTTCCCCTCTAAATAACAGCCTCGCCTACTCTATCACAGAGATGCCTTCCCAGCTGCTTCAAAGCATTTTAAGGTGATGAAATGGCGTAAACTTTTTATTTGAACAGAGGTGCAATGGAACTAAAATTTTTTGCTTATATAGGATAAAATTCCGGTTGAAAAATATTATGAAAAGTTAACAAAGACAATGCTTTTGAAAGGTGAATGCAATTTATAATTCATTTTCGCAGTTTCCGTATCGCTTTGATGTACTTCCTATACGCAAAAAACTATCCTTTCTTCTAGTGTATCTTCATCCTTTTTTTGATATATTCAAAGCATAGATTCACAAAGAGTGAGGCTCCAACAGGATTTCTCTCACTCTCTCGCCTTTCTTTCTTGAATGGCTCCATGTCAAAATTTTCTCTTTGAGCATGTACGTACACCTTCTTTTATGTAATCTTTCCGCTCTTATTTCTTCTCTCTTAGGGTGTGTCTTTGTAAAATTTCTTCTATTTTAAGATTTAGCTTCTCTTTCCTCTTGCAATCTTCTTCTATCATGAGACTTCGTTCCTCTCTCATTGTTTCTTCCATCTCTCGCGGTATTCTTCTTTCTCTCTCTCTCCCTCTACTCGCAGTATACTTTCCTCTCTCTCCCTCTCTGCCCCACTGGACGCAAACTACCTCTTCTTAATAAATTTCCACATTATTTTTTTCTTTACAACATGGTATCATAAGCAGCCATTTTATTCCAATGTGAAATAAAATGGCTGCTTATTACTTTAAAAAAATATTTTCTTCTCTTTTTATCCTTTGACAAACTCTGCTGGTTTTAGTGTAGTATATTCATCCGTCCAAAATCCTTCAAATCCGGACTGAGTGGCTTTTAATATTCGTAAATTCTGAAAGGAGGCAGAAAACGTGTACATACCGCAAATTCTTTAATAATTTTAGAATTTAAAGAGTAAGAATGAAGAGAAATATAATATTTATATAAAAAAATCTCAAAAACGATTCCCACGTATTCATAGAGGCAAAGCAAAAAATGAAAAAATTCAGAAAAAGAGAAAAATAGAGAAACTCACACCGAAGAAAAGAAAAATATAATAAAAATGAGAAGAAATTTTTTTTATAAAGGAAACAGTTTATTAAACAGAAACGTAGAGCTTTTAAGCGAAGAATTTTCTGAAAAATCTGAAAATTTGTTTCCCTTTCTCCCCCTTGATGAAATCTCTCTTATGTCAAAAACAATATGCTGTCGGTTACAATACAAATAACTAAAATCTATAACGTATACATATAAACTTTTTTTGGAAAATGGCCAACATATATACCAATATAGAAAACTATAAAGTAGAATGCTTTGTTCAAACTTTATTTTCTAATTCGATAGCATTTATTTCAAAAACTTCAAAGCCAATGGAGAGTAAAGAGAATTATTTTTAGTTTAGTCTTCCTCATAGAAATTCATCCATGCATGCCTCTCTCTTCAATTTCTTATTAAATCCTGTCCTTTGTTTTTTTCTCTTCTTATTTTCCTCCTCTCCCCTCTTCTCTCAATTCCTTCCTTTTCCCCTCTCTTCTCTCAATTCCTTCCTTTTCCCCTCTCTTCTATCAACTCCTTCCCTCTCCCTTCTTCTCTCAATTCCTTCCCTCTCTCCTCTTCTCTCAATTCCTTCCCTCTCTCCTCTTCTCTCAATTCCTTCCCTCTCTTCACTCAATTCTTTCCCTCTCCCCTCTCTTCTCTCAATTCCTTCCCTCTCCCCTCTCTTCTCTCAATTCCTTCCCTCTCTCCTCTTCTCTCAATTCCTTCCCTCTCTTCTCTCAATTCCTTCCCTCTCCCCTCTCTTCTCTCAATTCCTTCCCCCTCTTCTCCCC